TTCCCTGCGTTTTTGTATATATTAATATCATAGACGCATCAGATTTTAGATTTTAAAATAAATGTTGCCGCATTTTATATTTATATATTGAAAATAAATTCGCTTTACTCTAAAAATTTGTGTCATTTTAAACCATTACAATAATGTTCTCATTACACATTTAATTTCAGTCTACACATACCTGTGCTGTCGAATTATATTTCCATGTATCAAAATATTACTCAAATTAATACAATTAATACACATTACTATATCTGTTAATTAGACAATAACATTCTTATATATATATAACTACAAATTTTTCAGCAAACAATCAAAGCCACATATCCGTTCAATCAGGCAAAGAAAACACGAAACAAGTGTCATTATTACCAATTATTCTTATATAACAGCGCACCTAGTTAAGTGAAAATGAAACTACAAATTATTTATGCCGGGCATAGTTTCTAGGGAAGCCATTTTCCACAAAAGAATTAATAGAACTACTATTTTGATTACTGTCGAGGTGAGAAAAGCAAAGGTTCGTAAAATTTAGCATGAGTCACATTAATATTAAACTAAGCAAACACATTTATACACTCGTGTTATCAAATGCTATTTAAAATATAGAAAACAAAGTATCCAACATTTTAATGTATTTAATGATACAAAAACGTTTAGAGGTTTGGTTTTCTGTGTTTCGATAAAAATAACGTGTGATGTGCTATAAGCTATTGATTTAAAATTAATGGTGTCATTCACTAAAGCTACATTTTCAATAAAAATTGCAGAATTTCTAGATGCATCTAATACTAGCGTCCAAAAAATTTCAAACTTATCGTTGCCAAAATATTTTAATGCGTCGTGATTTTGAAAATATCTCGCTATAACAGTCGTTTATTACTTTATACTAACACATACTACGTTTCTCTGAATTCTAATTTATTATATTAGTTTGGCTAAATGAACACTTTTAACATGAACTCATTTCAACTTAACGCATCAATAATTGGATAGTGCAAGAACCATCATAACTTTTACATTTTGTTTATTCGTGTTGTAAATATTATAATTTCCTAGTTTCTTTTTCTGTAACTATTCTGTGTAGTTTCACTGATAATAGTTAGGTAATTCTTACAATCAGTTAACAGATATGTGAATTTAAATTACATGTATACCTTTATTCTCTTATTACCCTGCGTTTTTGTTAATATCATAGACGCAAACGTTTCTGCTTTATAAAATTTATATCAGATTTTAGATTTTCAAATAAATGTTGCCGCATTTTATATTTATACATATATTGAAAATAAACTCGATTTGCTCTAAAAATTTGTGTCATTTTAAACCACTACAATATTCTTCTCATTAGATATTTAATTTCAGTCTACACATACCTGTGCTGTCGAATTATATTTCCATGTATCAAAATATCACTCAAATTAATACAATTAGTACATATAACTATATCTGTTAATTAGACAATAACATTCTTATACATATATAACTACAAATTTTTCAGCAAACAAAGCCACATATCCGTTCAATCAGGCAAAGAAAACACGAAACAAGTGTCATTATTACCAATTATTCTCAACAGCGCACCTAGTCAAGTGAAAATGAAACTACAAATTATTTATGCCGGGCATAGTTTCTAGGGAAGCCATTTTCCACAAAAGAATTAATAGAACTACTATTTTGATTACTGTTGAGGTGAGAAAAGCAAAGGTTCGTAAAATTTAGCATGAGTCACATTAATATTAAACTAAGCAAACACATTTATACACTCGTGTTATCAAATGCTATTTAAAATATAGAAAACAAAGTATCCAACATTTTAATGTATTTAATGATACAAAGACGTTTAGAGGTTTGGTTTTCTATGTTTTGATAAAATAACGTATGATGTGCTATAAGCTATTGATTTAAAATTAATGGGGTCATTCACTAAAGCTACATTTTCAATAAAAATTGCAGAATTTCTAGATGCATCTAATACTAGCGTCCACAAAATTACAAACTTATCGTTGCCAAACTATTTTAATACGTCGTTATTTTGAAAATATTTCGCTGTAACAATCGTTTATTACTTTATACTAACACATACTACGTTTCTGTGAATTCTAATTTGTTATATTAGTTTGGTTAAATGAACATTTTTAACATGAACTCATTAAGGCATCAATAATTGGATAGTGCAAGAACTATCATAACTTTTGAATTTCTGTTGTAAATATTATAATTTTCCTAGTTTCTTTTTCTAGAAATATTCTGTTTAGTTTCATTGATAATTGTTGGGTAATTCTTACGATCAGTTAACAGATATGTGAATTTAAATTACATATACATTTGTTTTCTTATTACCTTGCGTTTTTGTATATATTAATATCATAGACGCAAACATTTCTGCTTTATAAAATTTTTATCAGATTTTAGATTTTCAAATAAATGTTGCCGCATTTTATATTTATACATATATTGAAAATAAATTCGATTTGGTCTAAAAATTTGTGTCATTTTAAACCACTACAATAATGTTCTCATTAGATATTTAATTTCAGTCTACACATACCTGTGCTGTCGAATTATATTTCCATGTATCAAAATATCACTCAAATTAATACATTTAGTACATATAACTATATCTGTTAATTAGACAATAACATTCTTATAAATATATAACTACAAATTTTTCAGCAAACAATCAAAGCCACATATCCGTTCAATCAGGCAGAGAAAACACGAAACAAGTGTCATTATTACCAATTATTCTCAACAGGGAACCTAGTCAAGTGAAAATGAAACTACAAATTATTTATGCCGGGCATAGATTCTAGAGAAGCCATTTTCCATAAAAGAATTAATAGAACGATTATTTTGATTACTGTTGTGAGGTGAGAAAAGCAAAGGTTCGTAAAATTTAGCATGAGTCACATTAATATTAAACTAAGCAAACACATTTATACACTCGTGTTATCAAATGCTATTTAAAATATAGAAAACAAAGTATCCAACATTTTATTGTATTTAATGATACAAAAAGGTTTAGAGGTTTAGTTTTCTATGTTTTGATAAAATAACGTGTGATGTGCTATAAGCTATTGATTTAAAATTAATGGTGTCATTCTCTAAAGCTACATTTTCAATAAGAATTGCAGAATTTCTAGATGCATCTAATACTAGCGTCCACAAAATTTCAAACTTATCGTTGCCAAACTATTTTAATACGTCGTTATTTTGAAAATATCTCGCTGTAACAATCGTTTATTACTTTATACTAACACATACTACGTTTCTGTGAATTCTAATTTGTTATATTAGTTTGGTTAAATGAACACTTTTAACATGAACTCATTAAGGCATCGGTAATTAGATAGTGCAAGAGCTATCATAACTTTTGAATTTGTGTTGTAAATATAATTTTCCTAGTTTCTTTTTCTAGAAATATTCTGTTTAGTTTCGTTGATAATAGTTGGGTAATTCTTACAATCAGTTAACAGATATGTGAATTTAAATTACATATACATTTGTTTTCTTATTACCTTGCGTTTTTGTATATATTAAGACGCAAACGTTTCTGCTTTATAAAATTTATCCCAGATTTTCGATTTTTAAATAAATGTTGCCGCATTTTATATTTAGATATTGAAGCTTTTTAACTAAACGTTTCTGTTTTATACATAAATATAATTACAATATTGATGATGGTGATCATGATAATGATGATGATAATGGTGATGATGATGATGATGATACTTAAATATTTAATAACACATATCTGTGAGATCCCATCGTTTATTCTTATTTTGTGATCTGTATTATTCCAAAAAATTATTTCACCATTATTGTTACCACTATTCTAAACATCTTTGTAGTTTTTAAACCAATGCGTATATTATATAATTAATGATTTTTTATACAAATACTTTTTCGAATACCTATATAAGTTTTCATATATGTTTTCATATACCTATGCCGTCTATATTTTGTTTCCAAATATCAAAATTGTATTCTTACAAATTAATACATTTAACACTCATGAGCATTTTTTTTATATTTTGCTGATTCACTTTTATATGCGTTTCGACTTATATCTCGTCTTAAACTACTAGATTTTTTTAACCTGAATTAACATATTATATCTAAATTACACTTTTTATTGCAATGACCCTCGAATATATCAGGCTTCATTTTCAATGATTTAATTATTTATAGAAACTTTTGGAATAATTTGAATAAAATTTACAAAATTTCGTTTCTTTTTCACACTATTCTGCTCCTTTAACATAATTCAGAGTTTATTTAATTTGCGGTAAAACTATTAATTAATTCTTATACATCAGAATACAATTAATTTTCTTTTCCTTCATTTCCAATAACCAATATCGTACTTTAAAAATTTTTTCGTGTAGTAATATTAATTTTACTCTCGTACTATAATTTTCATCTATTTGCTTTGATGCTACGTTTATATTATGCCAATATTCTATTCTTTTTGCTTTTAACATTTTTTTATACTCATAACAACACCTGATTGTGGTTTGCATTTTAATAACTACTTATTTGTTTGTTATTCCTTTACCTATAAATTGTTAATTTTCATATTTTCGTTATTTTGATACTACATTTTTTTACTTCGACTTTAATCAAATGTGGTTTGCATTTTCCTTTTTAAATTTATAATTACCTTTTATTTTAGGAATAGTTTTTATATCGATTCATTATTTTTACCATTATTTTTTTAGTACCATTTATTCCTTTGTTATCCTATTATATTAGTGAGAACAATAAATGTTATTTCATTAATTTTAACCCTGATACTTTTGTTATATATTTGCTTTTGACGCTGTGGCCACCCTTTTTTACCTATATATTCCCCAATTTTTCTTTATTTATATTTGTTTCTTATCTATTATGTCTCCGTTTTACTTGTTTATTATAATTATTATATTAATTCATTATTTTTAACACTCACTATATATTGATGTTTGTTTGTCCTGGCGTTGTGTTTATAATGTTTATTTTTCCCATCAATTCTTCCACAATTTATGCTTCTTTTTTCTATTTTTTTCCGTTTTCTATTTTCTATACCTCTTGTAACTTTGCTTTATTACTTTTCACATATGCGATTTGCTTTATTGTTGTGTGCTTGTCTACCTTTATTTGTTTATTGCAGCTACCCCCTTTTTTAAAATCTTCATATTATACATTTCGTTTACCTTCGACGCTAGGTTCACCTGTATATACTATTCATTTTCACCTATACCTTATGTTTATTTTCTAATTTTTATGTATGCCTTTATTATCCTTTGTAACTATATATTTTGTCGACATTGTTATTCTTTAATTTATTCCTTACATATAAGTTTCTTTATTCTTCATTTCTCATTTCATTTTTTTTTAAATCATAAAATTTTTCGTTTACCTTCGACGCTAGATTCACCTGAATATACTATTCACTTTCGCTTATACCTTACGTTTATTTTCAAATTTTTATGTATATCTTTGATTTATTCATTACATATAAGTTTCTTTATTCTTCATATCGCAATTCATTTTTTTAAATCCTTATATTATACTTTTCGTTTACCTTCGACGCTAGGTTGACCTGATTATACTATTCACTTTCACCTATACCTTATGTTTATTTTCCAATTTTTATGTATGTCTTTTATTACCCTTTGTAACTATATATTTTGCCGGCATTGTTACTGTTAACTCTTTGATTTATTCATTACATATAAGTTTCTTTATTCTTCATTTCTCATTTCATTTTCTTAAAATCCTCATTATATTATACTTTTCATTTACCTTCGACGATACACTGAATACGATTCGATTCACCTGAATATACTATTCACTTTCACCTATATCTTACGTTTATTTTCATTTATTTTCAAATTTGTATGTATGTCTTTGATTTATTCATTACATATGTTTCTTTATTCTTCATATTCATTCATGTTTTTAAATCTTCGTATTATACTTTTCGTTTACCTTCGACGCTAGGTTCATATGATTACATATACTATTCACTTTCACCTATACCTTATGTTTATTTTCTAATTTTTATGTATGTCTTTATTACCCTTTGTACCTGTATGTTTTGCCGGCATTGTTACTGTTAACTCTTTGATTTATTCATTACATATAAGTTTCTTTATTCTTCATTTCTCATTTAATTTTTTAAAATCCTCATATTATACATTTCGTTTACCTTCGACGCTAGGTTCATATGATTACATATACTATTCACTTTCACCTATACCTTATGTTTATTTTCTAATTTTTATGTATGTCTTTATTACCCTTTGTACCTGTATATTTTGCCGACATTCTTTGATTTATTCATTACATATAAGTTTCTTCATTCCTCATTTCTGCTTATACATAGGTATTACCCTTTAAAAATGTTCACTTGTAGAATCTTTCAATTTTTTTACCATTTTTGTTTGCTGTAGTATGTTGTTGCGTTTCAGTTTACCCGAAAATATACATAAAAAATACCAATACCTGAAAATATATATAATAAAATACCAAACTTAATTTTTCACGTATTGACCGTTACATTTACTTTTATTTTTCAGTTTTGTTACAGATTTGAATGTATTAAAATTTTATATTATTACTGTATAGGATTATATAAAAAAAGTTTTGTAATATTATGTGTGCCCTCCCCCCACCACTTTTACATTAACTTTAGTTTTCGGGAATATTCGTTTAAATAAAACACCATTTGTTTATTTCGTGTAACCTTCTTAATACCTAATATATAGTCATTTCGTATGTATTTATTTATAAATTATTATTTTATATCTAGCTTTTATTATTTATTATACCTATCCGCTCCATGATCATGCATATACATTCTTCTTACCCACACTTTTTATAGTACGACTAGTTTAGTTCATTTTATATTTTTATAGACTTACTATTTGGCGTTATTATGTCTTTCTCTAAATTGATTGTTTTGATTATACATGTAATATTTCTTGCGTACTGTTTTGGTTATATTTTCATCATCTTTTATACATTAGTTACTAATAAATACCATTCTTTGTTATTACCTATATACATACATAAATAGCCTTCGTTTCACCCACGCACCTTGTTTATTTTCTAATTTTCCTGGATACTGTAAATCTTTTTGTACCTTCGCCATTATAATTTTAATTAAATGTGTATTAATTATTGTATTATATGTATGATTATCATTTACTTATTACTTATTTTATAATTTTTAACACTATACTCTGTTTTTGACTCGACATTTGAATTATTCCTTTCTTCATTTCTCGCTTGTGAATTTTTCTTTAATAGAATTATCTTTGTACCTTAACCAACAATAACTTTACTTTTTGCATTTTTGTTATCTGTACCTAATTACCGTCTGTTACGCATACCATTAATGTGCCATTACTTACAAATACCTTGGCCACATTCGTGGAAACGGCTTCTTAAAAGCCTTTCTTATTCACGCACACATTTTCTTATTTTCTAATTTTCTTGTACATTGATAACATTTTTGTACTTTCGCTGTTCTGATTTTACTTGTTAACAAACAAGATATAATAAGATAGTTGGTAACAACCAACTATCTTATTATATTAACAGAAGCGACTTATTACCTACATTACTTAGTAATTTTTACCATCGATATTACATATTTCTTCCTTACATCCGCAAAGATCAAATTAGTTTTTCTTAATTTCACGGTATTTTGTAAATTCATCGACATATTTTTAATACCTTTTTTGTTCATTAAACTGTTAAAACTATTTATAAATAATTTGCTTTTCTGTTATTTATACGTATTATCATTTATTTGTCTCCTAAATACCTGCTGCATTACGGGAATAACTTCTTATAAACCTTCATACAATAGTTTTTATATATTTACATTTAGTGTTGTATAATACATATTTCACCCTTTTTTAATACCTTTCGCACCTCAACTACTACGACTTCACTTTACGTAATGTGCATGATTTGTCTATAATTATTGTTTATTTGCATGTTACAACTATCTTATTATGTTAGTGAAAAATATATCACATTTTTAACCTTCCCTATATTTACGTTCATCTTACCTTTTACCTAAACATTTTATGCTGTATTTTAACCTTATTTTCTATATTTATAAATTTCTAAAACCTTTTGCACTTACTTGTAATTATTATATGTCCTTTGCCGTAATTACGTACCTACTTTATATTTTCGTCGTCTATAAACATCGTTTATTTATTTCTTACTGCCTTATTTTTATATCACCACTTCAAACTATATATTATTAGTTTATTTTTTTTAAGTATGCGCATGCTTTTGTTTAATTGTGTTTCTTCTACAAATTTTTAATATTTTTTGGTTTTCGACGCTACCATCAACTTATTCGTTTTACCTACAAATTGTATGTTTTCTTTCTTCCAATTTTTCTGTATACCTCTTAATACCTTTTGATCTTGAACTGTTATCACTTATGTGTTATATTTGCTTGTTTTTATTTTATTTCATTGATTCGATGCTCCGTTTATCGTTAATCTTTTGTTTTCAAAACTTTACCTAAATATAACCGTTTATCTGTTGGTTGTTGCTTCACCTACAAGTCATATGTTTATTTTCATACTTTTATAATTTTTAGTACTTTACTACCGCGAATGTTATTTACCTAAATGTGGTTTCTATTTTATTTAATTAAAATTACCCTTTATTATATCGAATAGTTTTTATATTATTACACTATTTTGACCACTACATATTTTAAATAATTTTATTCCTTTACCATATTACATTAATGCGAATGACCTCTTATGTTGATTTTCGTATTTTTGTATATGCGTTTAATAAATTTTTGCACCTTATGCATACATGAGATTTTTATTTTCCTTGTTTATAATTACTTTTTATTTGTGTATTATTATATGAAAAATATTTTGTCATTATATTTACTATTCGTACTACACTATTCATGTTTTCATTTCTTGACGCTACGTTTACCTTATATCTTCCACGTATTCTACAATTTAGGTTTTTCTATTTCCTTACGCGTCTCAATACCTCTTGTACCTTAACTGTTATTACCTATTACTTTACATGTATATTACTCAACTCTTTTTCCTACGTTTCTATTCGTTTGTTGCAATTACCTTATTATGTTATTAGGGACAACCCTTGATATTATTTCATTTCTTTAATCCTATCTTCTTACTTTTTATTTGCCTTTGACGCTATATTCACTCATTATATTTTTTATGGTTTTTAATTATCGCTCATTTATTTAGTTATAAAAACTTTATTCACATTATTGGAAACAACTACTTACAATACATTACTTTTAAACTTCACGCGAAGATGGTTTATTTTCACTTATTATTTTTCATGTAAATTGTCACATATCACTTATCGGATCCCTGAATCACGTAACTTTATACGCATTAAAAAAATTCTTATAATAACTTTATATATTGCTACAAGCACATCATCACATATTACCTCATCCAGCTTATTGGAGCATTCGTATTCAATTCATTACTTCTGTCTTTGTTTTTCATTGTAATTACTTGTTTTTGATACAACACACTATTATACATTCGACATTACACATATTAACACTTTACTACATTTTACATATACATACATGTTTTGGTCAATCAATAACAATTGAAATATAATCTTCGCTAAAGAGATTCATAACCTAAATATTTTTATTCAACAATTTTACTCAAACAAATATTACTGCAATTCCAATTTTCCGTATTTGCCAAAATTTACGGAGATATATATTTTAGGCTATATGCTATTTTAAGAAAAAAATTCAATAACTGAACGGTTTCATTTTATAAATAAAAAAGGGATTATTATAACGCTACCATTTTATAGTTACTTTTGTTTCGGAAAATTATTATTTTGAAATTGTAATAATTTACCTTTCATCCTTTTAAAAATCATTATTAAAAACTTGTAATTCATGATTGAAAACGTAAACAAAATTTTTTGCAATACTAATGTCCATACCTATTTGATATTAAGTATAAAAATTATTATTACTTACTTATAATGATTATTTAATTATTTCATATCTTGATCTTAATGCAGATGTAGTTTAGAACTATTAAAATATATATAAAAAACTTCAGACAACTTTAAATTTAATAAACTTAAAACTCGACTGGACTTAAAATAATTTTCTTCAAGGCTTAAATTTAGCATTGGCGACTTCGCCATTTTCTCGATTTTCACATCATTTTTCAAGTTTGAACAGTGCTTACTGTTTGAACAGTGCTTACTATCAAATACATTAATTTAAGATATATTATTTATATTTTTTGCCAAATAATAAACTCTTCACGAGCACGTTAATGAAGACCCATCTAAATCAAACCAATCACATATTTATATACATTTTTCCACATTACGTTTCCGTATGAACAAAATGTTACCTCCAAAATTACACATTTGTTTCTACAATAATTATTTTTCTTTTTTCAATTCGTTTTCTTTTAGCCTATATTTAACTTTAACTTTAAATTAAACAAGTAGTTTTAATTTTCTATTTTACTAACAATCTATTGCCATTTTTTTACTACTTCTTACAAATATATTTTTGAAATATTAGATATATATTACTTTCAGGATTACATGTTTTTTAATAAAATATAGGATCGATCAATCATTATACTATATCGCTCTTTATTAGACATCTTCCTATTTATTTTGTGATCTCGATATATTTTTAAATAATTTTGAATACTTTTTATGTATCATAATTAACTTTCTATCCTATCCTATCACTTCCTGTCTGTATCTACAGCTACCGTTTTTTTGTTACAACTAACTTATTGGAAATAAATTTTTGTTTTTTTATTATTTACAACTATTACACTGTTTTTATGTATTTTGCTTTGTATGTACTTTGGGTTGTATACTTATACTTTGGTCTGTGACACTGTTTATTTTGTATTTATTTATACCTATATATATCCAGATTTGCCTTTGCGAAATTGTATACTGGCACACATACTCAGTATGTTTTTGAATACAAATTAATTATGATTTAATTCTCCGTTCTCTCTAACCAACTATTTGTCATCTATACACATTTTTCTATAGTTTTACGCTACTTTCATACCATATGTATTTCAATTATTGTTTTTAAACAATTACGTTGATATTTTAGTTAATCAGTAACAGCTGTAATATTCTTCGCCACAACGTTTATTTTTGTAAACTCTCATTAAGTCATAAGAAAAATTAAAAAGAAATTTTATAAGTTGAGAATCGTCAAATAATAATATTAACAACTCGCATATTCTAATATTTATTAAAGTTCACTAAACCTTGCAGTATATTCTTATAGACTATAAGCCATTTTAATAAATAATATCGCCAGTCAAATCGTCTCACTCTAAAAGGCATAAACAAATAAAAGAACGCTGTCTATAGTTACCATATTTTTAAAAATTCCATTTATAATTATTCACGCCACTTCACGCATATATTAATAATTTATTGCATATTGCTTCTTCTAGATATAAATTTAGACCTATATACCTTCATTGAAATTATCATTGGGGACTTCACCATTTTCTTGTGATAATCCTAAAATTTCACATCAAATTACTACACAAACTTGACCAACGCTTACCACCAAATGCAATTTAATAAATACGCTATCATTCATATTATGTAACTACGCCTAAGCTTTGACAAACAGTGCACACATTTATTATTTCACAAATAAATCAAACATATCACTGTATTATAATAAAATTTTAGTAAATATGTTGCTTATCATATCTATATAATTTCTTCTACATTTCAATACATCTAGTTCGAGGTAGGTACTTCCTCCAAAATTACGTTTTGTTCTTCAATCGTATTAGTTCCCTAAAATATATTTCCTAAATATTACTTTACATATTCATTCATATTTTTACAATCCACTTCAAATTTTAATATCGTAGATCTATAAACTTTTTTTTAATGAACACGGTCGTTGTAATATAAATTTATTTACTACGTTTCGCCAAATTACATGTATTTTTGAAAATGTTATATTTCATAATTCTCATTTTATAAATAAAACAATTTAAACATTTACTGCAACGCTAGATTGAATATAATATCTATATATAAATAGCTTTTTCAAAATGTGAATGTAACTGCAAATTACTATACTATAATAGTGTATAGAAGTTTCATAAAAAAAATGAATCGCCTTAATAGTTTGCTGTTGATGATATTGTTAGCTTCCTTATTTTCACAATATAATTTAATCTGTCTTTAATTTTACTAAATAATAATTTTGCAGACGCATATTTATTAATTCACATCTAAGACAAACGTGGGTATATGTAACATACGAATACTATATTTCATTACAGATGTATGTATTACCTCCAAAATTATGTATTTGATTTTTACAATTATTGTCCTTCTATCCAGTTTATTTTCTTGTGACATCCTATTACCATTTTAAGCATTCGCTTATACCGTGTTGTAATTGTGATTCATTAATCTTTAATTTATTATCTATAACACTGTAAGAGTTAAAAAGATCAATCGCTTCACTGTTTAACTTTTTCTACACGTATTTGTGTAATGCATCACTTTGTTACAAATTAATATATTACAATCTAATACTTTTATTCCATTTCTTATAGTCGTATCTCTGTTTCCTGCAGGCATTCCTTTTCAATTTTCGAAATTTACCACAGTTTGTTATAGATACATCATGAAATATTATTTCATCCTGCTTTAGTAAACGCATTACCATATATTTTAATACAACATATTACCTTCTTTTCAATTTACTTTACGACTTTCACCATAGACATATTTTGTTCTCACTATACTTCTATTACTTCACTTCATTTAGGTTGATCTTAGTTAATGATATTTTTTCCACAAATTTTTTGTAAGGAATTTCATCACTTCTCCATTTCACAAACAATTTAAACAATGTTTACGACGTTATCTCTACGTACTTACTAAGATTCACTAAACCTTAAATTGTTATACTTTAGACTTATTATACGTTTTCAATAAACAAGATGATTGCAATGCTGCGTACGCATAGTTACCATGTATACCATCATTATTTTCCCGATTGTCCCATCATTCAAACAATTTGTAAATAAAATGTTAAAAAAATAAATTATTGCAATGCCTTTCCATAGTTAAAAATTAATACATACAACAAGCCATTATTACAAGATGATGATGAGGTAGTTACGATTAAAGTATACTTATTCAGACCATGATGCTAACTAAAATCCAACAAAGCAGCAAACAGTTTTTCTATTTTTACCATCGGCGACTTCACCATTTTATCGACTCGACAAACTACTATCTACATGATACATGTATTTAACACCAAATTACTGTAAAAGCTTGAACAATGCGTACTGCCAAATGTAGTCCACACATTTTAATTTCTTTGCTAGCACATCTTAGCTTAGTTAAATAATAGTAATGAATATTAATTAAATTCCCTTCTATATCACTTTAACAAAACCATCAAAGCTGCACATCCATTAGTAATAGGCCGAGAGTGAAACGAACTAGTGCCGTTGCTATTTTCAAAGTCACTTCCAATGATATGAAAATAAGACAAGTACAAAAGTGTTACTATAAGAGCAAAGCCAATTATCCATAAAAAAAATGTAATGTGTATGATTTATTTTCTAGTCGCACTCTTTACAACGTTCATGCTAAAAATCAAGGTTTGTTAATATTAAGAGAGATGACATTTAGCAAATCAAGCAAATGCACTAGATGCACGTAATTTATAGAATTCCCATATCAAAATTATCTCAAAATATCTAACTGGTCATTTAAATAAATACAACACTTGACACCATACTTGATACTAGTAATTATTTTATATCTAATACTCCCATTCCCAATTTGCACTAGAATCTCACCATAACAATATTCATAATCATAATTCCATCCACTTATCCATAAAAACGAAATGAAATAAAAATTCCTACCGTAAAATTAGTTTGCCACAGTTTTAAACTTCTTTTTTAAACTTTTAAAAGTCTTTCGTCCAATTATAATTTCCGCATTATTTACGTATTCATTTACAAAAACAAAAAAATATTTCAAATACACTTTTCGTATTGTTAATCTTCATGAATTTTGGTTAACGATTAGTATTTGGATATAATTCTCGTCCATATTTTACACTTAATAACAATTTGTCCATTATTAATTTCTGCTCACATACAACTTTACACAAAAACCATATTTCTCACATATGCCTTTCAAATAATTTGTATTCAAACATTCTGAATAAATGATTCCCATAAAACTCAAAAACTTCCACTTTTTTTCTTAGGAATTTATATTAAACTATTTTGATTAAATACTTCCAATATTTTGAACCAATTTCGAATTATAATTTCTCTCATATTTTTACTTAAATATCAGTTTTTAAAACATAGAGACTTTCCGTTTTAGTCCTTTGGAAAATAGGTTTTGTTATTATAATTTCATCAAATAAAACCAAATGTATTTACGTCTATAATTATTCGTAAGTATACGTACTAAGTATTTCAAACATAAAACTTATTACAGATACTCTTTCCAAATATTCTGATGCATCAAGTAAATGTCCGCTCACAGTATTTCCAAACAATTTTCAATTAAAATTTTCAGAACAGTTTGTCGTTATTAAAAACTTTCCATATTTTTGTAATTGATAGCTACTCGTAAATTCATATGAAAACTGAAAACTTTTATTTCGAATATATTTTCCAAACGATATGTACTACTTAAATGTTTCGGTTTAATAAGATTTACTCTAAACCAATTTTCAGTTATAATGTTCATCACAATCTTCCTTTAAAAAATTTATATACATATGTGTCGGTAACTTAATATTTTTCATCAAATTTTCAGTTCCTATAATATACAATCGTCTTTCCAAAAAATAAATCATTTTGTTATAAAAATATTATTATATGTATGTGTTCTTCAAAAACTTTCAAAATAGTTTTTATATTTAAATTTTAAGCGTAACCTTCAGTAATGTTATATCCATTTTATCCGACAGTTCTCCGTCACCTTAGACTTAGAGCAATACAATTTTTTTAATTTGCCCGCCCTCCTCCACTTTCATCATTAATTATATGTATTTGTTAAAAATGATTTGATCTTTATATTAGATTTTTTAAATCTTTTATTCGTATTTATTTCCATTCATATTCTTAATTATTTACAATAATTATTGTTAAATTTAAAGTTTTTTGCCTCGGCGACTATTTGACTGCATATTGACTACATTTCCGTTTCAATACACCCAGTTTTTACAATTACCATTTTTACATGTTATATATTTATATTATTTTTTCCTTTATCATCACATTTACTAATTAATATACTCTCTAAAAATGAATTGTTTCGACGTATCGTATATATCTTTTATAATTGAATCTATCTCTTCAAAAAACTTTTGAATATTGTCAAATTAATTTAGCCTAAAGTTTTTTGTCCGATACATAATATTTTTTTTTCCATTTTAATTAGCTCATACTCTTTCACTTTCATCTCTGTATATATTTGTTTTAAATTTGAATACACCAATTTTAGGCATCAATTTTTTACTCCTCTCTCAATAGTTCTTTGTTTTACAGTACCGTATCATTTGTATCTAACACAATAATACCTCTGTATTTACTTATATATGTTTATTACAACGAATTTTTGCGTTATACGCGTAATTATAGTGTTTCCACACATTTTCAAATATTAATATAATATTTTACTCTTATTCATTGTATAATCTGCACCTAAACCTTTCTTTCGTTTCTTCTTATATAATTTAATATATTCTATCTATTAGAGCTTTCCCCACAAAACTTTTACGTCAAATAATTTTCCATTTTTCCTACCATTCATAACATTTTATCATATATGTAGAATATTTTTACCTATTAGTCACTTTTATATTTTATTAATGTCATTATCTTTTACACTCGTTATAAGAATCGATTTCCCTTACCTTTTAGGCACCTTTTTCCATTTTATTTTATTCATTATATTTACTGTCGCATTGGACGTTTATACATTTTTTCTGCCATTGCCTTAAAATTTACACCTTTTGCGCACAAATTCCTAAACATTCTATTATGATTCTCGACTATCGCATTTTAGCATTCATAATATAAATATTATTGTTTTTAAAATAATTGCAGAATTAAAATTTATCTTTCGTTCATTTAAAGTATTGACTATACATTCACTTGTAATATTTGAAATAAAATCAAGCATCGATTTTCGTGCTGTTAATAAATATAAATATTCCTATTTGCTATAAAACGCATATTACGTAATAATACATTTATTGCTTAATACTTTTCGTATTTGATGTCACTAGATACTACACTTTAATAATTGGCTTTAATAAACTATATCAGTTATTAATACTCATTGCTATGGTTTAAAATTTAGACAGTTTATGGTAAACTACATCTATTGTGTACCCTTTTTGTATACTTTTGAGATCGATATAACTTATGTCCTTGATTCTTAGAATCATATAACCGTTAACTTAATACACTTTGTACCTATATAATTTCTTCATGTCTACACATTAGTTTTAAATTTTAGTTTGCCTATTGATATATTTCATAATTTTTGTAGTATACCACGACTTATTTTATTACCTAAAATTGTATTTTCACCATATAATTTGCATCCGAACCTTTCGTCCATATTTCTTCTAATTTAATACACTTTTTAAACATTTTTATCCTTAAAGTTTCATTTTGAGTATTTGTTTGTTTGGCGTTCTACCGTATCTACAACATTTTATTGTTTTCGTAATGTGAAACATTAACGTATACACCTGTTCGTTGAATACTTACTTCATTTGCGTATTTAATATTTACCAGAATGTTTTTCTTCCCTTTACATATATTCATTTTATTTACCATTTATTTGAAAC